TTTTCTTATCTTTATTGTTTTTGTTTTGCTTTTTATGCTTTAAAATTTTTCAGTTTTGTTTGTTAAATGAATCTTCTTGTTTTATTTTTTTATGCGTTTGCATTTTCATTGTCTTTGTTTCCAAATGTTTTTTTTTTCTTATTATCTTTTTGTTATCTTAAAAAGCATAAAACCAACAAAAAGAACTAAGAATCAAATTTTTTTCACATAGTTAACATCACATGGTTACACAACTTGAAATTAAACAACAACAAATACAACTTATGTTTACTTATTGCAAATTAAAACTTTATACAAATTAATTTAAACAAAAACGTTGTATTAATTTTGCAAGAAAAACTAATATATTATCAAAAAAATTGATAAAAATGTTTAAAACCAAACGTTTTAATTGTTGCTTCTGATACAATTTATTTAGTGTCAAATCTACTATTTTGAGAACAAAATTACATGATTCCACATTTCTGAGACTGATTTTCATAGTCAAAAGATTTCGTATTTACTTCTTTTTTTTATGACTAAGTTTATGTTTAGCAGGAGACTTTCCGTTAATTATTTTTCAAGTACAACACTTTAAGTTGATTTATGGCTTCCAGAATGGGCGTAAATATGCAAATTATTGCTGTAAAACGGTGAAATGAAGTCAGACAAACATATTTTTAAAATTTCCTTCTTGAATTTTTTGACTGATGAACTTCTCTCCTCGTTAAATCAAAGCAGCGAAACGTGACGAAAGGTGGGCCATCACCCAGAAATAATCCCAATCGATGGTTGCTAATCGAAATTGATGAAAGCTCGAACCTTGGGATTACCACCCTCTAACTTCGTAAGGATTCGTGTTTGTTAAATGAGCGAGCGCTTGGCGAAGCTCATTTTTCTATAGCTTGAATGTAATTTGTCAAAACTTTGAAATCATATTAAATTTAGATTGCTTTGTTCCATTAAAAAAGTGCGCTCTGCACTAAATTACGTCGAGAAAGAACGAACGAAAACCTTCATATTGTCGCAACAACAATAATTGGAAGCGGAGTTTTATCCAAGTTTGCAATTAATAAAGTCAAATAAGAGAGTCGCATCTTGACGTGTTAAGGACGCCGCTAGGAATTACACGGGTATAAAAAATAAATCTTCTCTAACAATTTGGCTCACGAACAGAGTCGAAATTAATTTTCATGAAAGTCATCAGGAGGCGGCCGTGTGAAAAAGGCAATAAAGCAGACAATAAAACATGAGAGGGCATTGTTGGCCCTTATTGTCCTTCGAACCTCCCCCAGATAAGTGACGGATTTCTTCCCCTTCTAACCCGAATTTAATTTTTGGGTAAATACACAAAGGTTAAATAATCTGCGTGTAATTCAACGTAATCAACAGTACTAATGGAAATCCATAATTGACTATTCCACAATTGTTTACTTGTTTGCGTTTTAGTAAACTGATGGGTTTGTTTATTATCCAGATTTGTTGGACTTGAAAATTTAACACAAGCTAAACAACGTAATTATTTTTGCTCTCTTAACCAGTGTTGCCAGATCAAAATCATAAAATTCACCAGATCCAAGTTAAAAAACTTGCCCATTTTTCACCAGATTACGATTTGTACGGCAAAAGCTCACGAAAAACCGCAGTTTTTAGCTTAAAAATCTGCTTAAACTTTTGGAGAAAAGCAAAAATGACACGCTTTTGGCTTAATCCTGTAATTTTTCGGCTTGTTTAAAAAATAGAAAAATAATTGCGTTTCTAGCTGAAAAACACCCGAAAAATGAAGTTTTAGACTTAATTTTTTGATTATCTAGATTTTTTCAGCGAAATCTAGCGAAAAACCTGAGATTTTAGTACAAAAACGTGCTCAAAAGTGTTTCCGGCCAAATTTTGTGTTTTTTCTGCTTACTTTTGTCTTATTTTGCTTAAAAACCAGTCATATCGAGTGACACAAACAAAATAACATCAATATCAATCCTTTTTGTGATTTTCAGGCGTGTTTGGACAAGATTTTGCAAAATAAACAAGCTAAATATGATATCAATTTCGATTTAGTTTTGTAATTTTTTAGCCTGTTTCAATGTAATAGACAAAAAACGCTGTTTTTTGGGCTATTTTGTTGAATTTGTGACTTGTTTTAGACAAAATTTTGCAAAATAATTGTGTTTCTAGCTGAAACGGCATTCGAAAAAAGCAAAAATAAGTTATCATTTTCGAGTAATATCTTGTAAAAAAAAACAAATAGAACCATTTTTAATTAATTTGGTGGTTTTTCGACTTTTTTGAAGAAATTTGACGAAATAATCAAGTTTCTGATTGAAAACGTAAAAAATGCTCCAAAAACAGTTTTTTTCATTTCCAAAAAAATTTTACAAAAATAATGACTTAGTTTGATGTTTTTTTCGTTTGTTTTAGCAAAATTATCAATTAACACCATTTTCGACCATATTTTGTGCTTTTTGTCTAAGTTTTTTTGAAAAAATTTCACTCAAAAAGAGCTGAATTAAATGAAAAAAACAAAATAACATCAATTTAGATTTATTTTTGTTGTGTTTAATGATATTCTGCATAATAAATGAGTCTTTGGTTCAAAAATAAACTAAAGCAAGCGAGACACGCTAAAATGATATCAATTTCAATCTAATTTGCTAATTTTTCAGTCAGTGTTAGCAAAAATTTAAATACATTTTTAAAACGTGCTCAAACACTCTAAAAATGCAAAAATAACACTAGTTTTGATCTAAGTTGATTTGTTTTTGACAATATTTTGTAAAATTTGTGGCTGAAAACATACTAAAACGCTCAGAAATGAACAAAATAATGTTCTTTTTGACCCATTTGAACGATTTTTTTACCTTGTTGAGTGAAATATCATTTTCCAACTTGTTTTTGAGAAAATTTAGCATTTGAGTTTCTACAGGCTAAATTGGATTAAAAAAAAAAATCAAAAAACATAGATTTTCTGCTGTAACAACAACTACAGTCAGGTTTCTAAAAAATCATCAGAAATTAGAATTTTTACAAAAGTTTTCACCAAATGATTAAACTGGTATAAAAATCACCAGATCTGGTGAAATTTCACCAAACCTAGCAACACTGTTCTCACAACTCTCAAATAGCCCCATCTAGAAGTGACGTGTCCTTGTCATTGACGTCTAATAAAAAAATTATTTCTGATTTTTTAATAAAGGTCTTCGGCCAAAAAACTTAATACAAATCAATTATTAAGACACTCCGCTGCGCGTTTTGTGTCAAATTAATTTAAATAACTAACTCATTAACGAATTTTTTGGGCAATTTCCGTCGTGATAAAATGCATGGTTGCAATTTACGCGTTAATCAATACGCCGTAGTGCTACCCTATAAATTTCCTCGTTAAATTTAACAAACTCGCGGTTTTTTCGCTGATAAATTATTATGCTACTATTATTACAATTTTACAACAAATTGCCAAAATCAAAATATCCCGCTTGGTTTTGTTTTCTGATAACGGTTTTCCCATCCTAACGATCGAAATAATTGCGACCTGATTTATAGTTTTAACGTTACAAATCTGTGAAATGCCAGTGAATTTTACTACAATAGGAAAATCGCGTGGAAATTAAACGGGCGAAAACAAAGTTTAGGACAACGAGGCGCCGGCATGGTCGTATATGAGAGGAGATATGCAAATAGTTTTTTCAGGCTTCAAATCACAGAAAAAACACGAAAAAGTTTACTTTTGACGGTTTCACTCTTGGAACCACAAGAAAAGTACCTGAAAACTTCTCTCTTTTGATCTTTTTGCCAATTATATGTTATTAAAAAGTTACTGAAAACATGCAACAATAAAAAAATACATAAGTTGTGCTACATTTTTCTTAATTTTATTTAAAATTCAAAATGGCATTCACATTGTAACTTTTTTCGCATTAATTTCTTGTATACACTCCCAAAAATAGTTATTTTAAGTACTATTTTTTTTATCTACTAATTTTAAGAAATAAATCATACATAATAAGAGGTTTGAATGTGTTTTTAAAAGTTTTAACAAAAAAATAACTATTTTCATACAAAAGTTAATTAATATTTTCTTAATTTTCCTTATTTTTAAGACTTTATTTAGAACACTATTCATAGTTTTTTTTATAATTTTTTAGATGGTTTATTGTTATTAGCCTTAGTAATGTTTTTCCACTTATGAAAGCGCTCGGCATGCTCGTCGCTCACATCATACAAATTTAAAACTCTAACAAAGTTTTATTGTTTTATTTTCCATATTAAAAACTTTGGTTAAAATTTTAATTCTTATAATTCGTTTCCTGTTTCAATGTTTTTCAATATAAATGTATACTATAAACGCCCAAAAAATTTTTTTTCATTATTTTTTTATCTCGATTT